TATTGCAGTGATGGGTGAATTGATTTCAATCCTGTCTGTTTGCATAAAAGATATTTCCTAAGTAGACGTAAAAAGGATGTTGAGGGGGAGGCTAATAACAATTTCTAAAGAATTATTGCTTTTCTTTTTAGTATGTGGGGGGGCGTCATTAATGCTTATTTACATTGGTATTTATTGTTTTTCTCATAGAGACTTCATTAAATAGATTGTTGACCTCAAATGAAGATGATAGGCTGTTAAGTTTATTGACTTTCAGGAGTTGCGTAAAAAATCATATTGTAAGTTTATGCCGTTTCATAAAGTATAATAGGAGTAGATATGTTCACTTATCATCCGGTTCACATTCCTTCCTGGTCTTTTGAACAGGAGTAGAGGTTTATCCCTTGTTTCCTGTTTAAGATTGGGTTTCCTGTTCCTTCTAAAGTCTTTTATTCTCATTCACTTGCATTATCACCTTGCTTGGGGATGATTTCATTAATAAAAAAAAAAAAAAAAAAAAAAAAACATGGTTTGATAATTCTACATGGTAATTTGTGAAGTTATAGATATGAACAGGACTATAGATTTGTTAGATTTTATTTCTCTATTGATATATAGACAGACACATACATAGATATGAATGATAGATAGACAGATATGACAGATATGGCAGAGTGGTTACAATGTTTGCTTTCTGAACATGATACCCAAGTTTGACACATCATTGTCAATTTGACTTCTTAAAGTTATTAGTCTGGAGAAGCAATCCCAGTGGACAGTACCATTGGAAAATGATTGAAAAAGAAGCCATGAGTTAATCCAAGCCTTGTGAGTAAAATTAGGAAGATGGAATTACATGGAAGCCATTGAATGTCATGGTAGCATGAGGTTGCAAGTCCTCATAGCTGAGGGTTTGTGTATACTGGCTTGATTCAAAGAGCTCATCAGGTCCAGATTCTGGAAAGGAAAGTTGCAGTTTCAAGCACATGTATGTTCTTGGAGTGATGAACAAACACAAAATGTGCCTGAGCAGACAACTGCAACAGGGAGGAGCTAACCACTCTAGCAGACAGGTATGAATAGAAACTAATAGAAAGCCAGGTGTGTGTAAAAATTCAGATACAACTAAAAATAATTTAAGCCAACATTTATTTTTCTTGAGAAATTTGAAGTAATAAAAATAGGATATATGTTATTCAGCTTTCACAATTGAATACATGGTAGATGATACTCAGCTTTTGTGCATTGACATGTTTATGTGGACATGCTTACTAGAGGTGGTGATACATGTTTTTTATGTTGCCGTTTTGTTGAACTTATATTTTAGAATAGAGTTTGATTTCTTTAAGAAATTGTAGGACATTATATGGACTAATATCATGAAAGAGTTCTTTCATGTTGGTTGGTTTATTTTGTTTAGTGGCATATCAACACTTCTATGTGTCATTTAATGCCGAAATCTAAATATCTTGTACATAATGCTTTCAGAGTAAAGGAATATTTTTAGATATATATTTTGTCAATCATAAAATATATTGTTAGTAATTTTACTATAAAAATGTACTGTTGATTTTTTTTTGTTTAAGGCTTCACTATTTGCCCATAGCTGAGACCCTAACAGGTTCTACCACTCTGGGTCAGGGTTGAGCTAGGAACAGCAATTAAGAGGTGGTTCCACGCTCCTCAAAACCTCCTCATCAAAGACCTTACTGTTGAATGTATTTTATTGTCACATAATCATTGAATAAAATTCTGATAATTCCACTGAAATACCCTAATTTGGAGACACAGTGTAACAGACAGTAATAAGTATGTAGCTGTGCTGGAACAAAGATAAGATTAATAGGTAAAGAAGTATACATTTTTATTCAGATTTTACTAATCTTAGAATGTCAAGTTGTATTAGAAAATGACCTCATTTTTCCATGGCATTAAATAATAAATTTTTTTTTTTTTTCAATTTCCAATTTAGCAGTGAATCCTGAAATATTGATGTAACATTACAAAAAAAAAAAAAAAATCTATTTAATCATTTTATGGCTTATTCCAACAAAAGGCTCTTTATATTTTATTCTTTTCAGAATATCATTAGTAAACTTGCTTATAAAATAACTTAATTTTGAACTGGAACCCAAAATATAAAAGATTTTAGGATCAAGTCTATACTGAACTAATGACAGGCAACATCAATTTCACAAGATCAATGTTCAAATTCTGGGTTTTTGCAGTTGCTATAAGACATTAAAAATTATTCTCTGCTTGCAAGCAAGGATTTTAAACAGGATTCTGAGTTTAGGAATAGAATCTGGCAAATTACATATGCTTGCCCTGTGTATTTAGAGAGGTCTTAAAATTCTGTTCACAATATACTCTCGTAGTACAATTCATTTTAATAGGAGGGGGGACAAGAAAATTGATTTCTATGATTCAATTAAAAAAAAAAATCTCCAAAACAAAAAATTAAACATTTTAAAATATATGCAATGAAAGTGGAGAAAAAAAAGAATACAGTTGAATTGAAATTTCATTCTTTTACCATTTTTTTCAATTTCCAATTTGGCAGTGAACGATAAGGACAAAGTGATAATAAAAAAACTTAAAAGCAAAAATTTACTAAAAACTACAAAAGACAGGAAATTGTGAAGAGCCATGATTACCAAAGCCCTGAAGGGACATTGCACATAGAAGAGAAGAAAATATATTTGCCGCATGAATAAGCAAGGGTTCTCTTAAAGAAAAAAACATTTTAAGTTTTCCTCGTGTACGAAAATACAAAAAAGTTATTTATTTTACAAAGTGAAAAATAATTTAATATCGTTTTTTTTTTGTTGTTGTTTTTTTTTTGCTTCGAGCTCTCAAGCTAAACAATCGAGTCAATAAGTGCAAAACAATTTTCTTTTTAATTTTTTTTTCCATTTTGTTTACGGAATTTCTAATTAATCAAATAATTAATATTTCCTAAACATTCTGGAATTCAAACTTTAAAAATCGTCCCTTTTTGCTTTGTTCCTGCATTTTTAACGATTTCTGATAGAAAGAAGAAGAGAATAAGTTTTGTTTTTTGAATAGAGGAAAAAAAAACGTTAATTAAAATTAAAAATTTTCGCGCAATTTGAGACGAACTTCTTTTTCTAATTAGGTTAGTAAAAAAAAAAAAAAAAATAAAATAAAACGTGAATTAGTCATATATCCCGAATATGAAAGTATTTCATCTCGCAAGTGTGGGAGGTTGAAAAATGAAACAGATTAGCAAATGAATTAGGTCACACATTTCAAGGTAACAAGTTTGTTGTAACTTGTTGTTTCTCAGGGCGGAGCAGGAGAGTAGAGAAATACCTAAAGGGTTGCGTGTATCTTTTCCGTTTTTTGTTTTTTTTTTTTTTTTTTTTTGGCTATTTTGTTTTTGATCAGCCCGAGGTCACATACATGATGTCCAAAATGAACCATGTATTGTTCGGAATCAAACTAAACCATGATGTATGTATCAGCGGTTAAGAATATTAAAATTAAGTTTTGAACATTTTCAATATTAACGGCTTTTCAACGGTGGAAAGAGAAAGGCTGGTGATTTACAACAAAAATAGGGGGAAAGAAAATAGATGACGACCTTCAACAGCACCACTTGTTGAAATAAACATTTTTTAGTGACTAAGTATGTCGATTGCTGGGCGTTTAACAAAATATAACTAAAATTAATTTTTATTACTTAATTTTTTTAAATTATTATCATTTATTTTTGCAGTTTGAAAAATATTAGACAAAAAATCCTGAAAACGAAAGTGATTTTTAATTTTAAAATATAGTCTTATTCTTAAGGATTTTCGACAACGTGGTAATTTAAAATAAAAAAAATAACCAACAATAATGATGGCTGTTTTATGCGAAGCAAACAGACGCGATCAAAATAGGCTCACTTAAAGGAGGACCCTTCACAATTTCTCTACAAAAGAGCATAGTATGATAAAAAAAAGACCCCAAACTTGACAAAAACAAAATTTTATCGTCAAAACAAAATATTTATGTTACTCGTTTTGGTTCTTGATTAAGAGAAAAGAAAAAATTATTTTTAATTATTTTTAAAAATGTTCCGTCTTTTTAGAACATTCTAACTTTTGCTTAAAAATAAAAAAAAACTTTGTTTCTCTTTGCGTCAGAGGAAGTACTAAGTAACAGCAAATTTTAGCGTATTTTTTTTTTTTTTTTGACAGTCATTAATTTGAAAAATCTTGTCAAAATAAAAATAATTGTCGGATTTTGATGAAACTTTCAGAAACTATTCACAAATGATTGAAATTGTTATAAATATGTTGTTTTTTTAAGTCACGGTAAAAATATTTTTTATATTTTACCCTACCATAATTAATTTTATGAAAACTTTCGAAATCCAATACTGAATCATTTAGTGATTATTTAGTTATTAAAAGCACAAGGCTTTGTTGAGGAAAGTAAAACATTTTTTTTCTAAATCGGTCCTCGTCTATCTAAAAATCAGCTCTGAATTGTAACATGCAAAAATGAAAATACTCAATAAAACAAATATTTATTTAATTTCAAATGCTTTTAGTTTTAGTGGGGTTTTTTAGCTGTTTTTATGAATAGGGATATGGTCTGGAGGCAAATTTTTTTTTCGATGAAAAATGAATTTTTACAACAATTTAAATAATTATTTGTTATTCTATTTTTTTTTTTTTACACTATTTTTACATTAAAGTTGTTACAAAAAATTAATGAAAATCAGAGGCAGTTGTGTTATGAAGGTAGATGTATCTTAATTTCTTAAAGGATCACTGCAAGATTCATTTTTAATTTGTACTAAAAAAGCATTTTCTTTAAAATACGGATCACCATTTAAATTTTCTCGTGTTAATTTTAAATATTTTGATATCACTATGTGAAAATGAGCTGCCAGAAAAAAATTTAAATAAATAATTTAAGTTAAAAACAAAATTATTTAAAAACAACGGGATCAGACAATTAATGCAAACATAAATTTTCATTAATACAATTTTTTAAAACTTTACCCTGGCTATTAGAGTACCGTTGACAATGATTCCTTCACCAGGTGCGAATTCCAATCTACATCCAGGTTCGATAAACAAACATCCTTTGGGGGATATTTCAATCGATTTCCCAATTCGATGAGGACTCTGTCTTTTCAATAATGCTATAGGTCTATCAACAATGCCCCCAAAAGGGAAAGTCCTCACGTAAGGATTTTGACATCGCTTCGGGATATAATCCAGATAGTAAATAATTCCGTTCGACTCGATTGGTTTGTTGTCTGATGTTCTTGGTGGTGGGGTGTATGTTTCGATCTGGCCACTAACCATTTCCACATAAAACAAAGGACGATGATTATTGAAAAACCGAAAGAGACAATTGTAGGGTGAAAACAGCATCTCGCCATAGTCTTTTTTTGTTGTTTAGTTTGTTAAAGTACTCCAATACCGAGTTGTGACAATATTTTTTTTTTGTTAAGGATAAAAGATGAATTTTTTAAAAATACCCCTCCCCAAATCACAGTGATTTCGATATTTTAAAATTAAAAATCAGTATTTTCCCTTGTATTTTCTTGAGTGTGACGTCTTAAATAGTTTGAAATCTGCTTTTCTTCTTCCAAGTGGATAGTGAGTTTTCATCGTGTAAAAAATAAAACAATTCGAGTCTTTAAAAAAAAAAAGTAATATTAAAAAAACTGATGGATTTTTTTTTTTAAGCGGACAAAACCACTAAGTAAAAGAAAGTACCATCAGTAAGTTAAAATGGCTCCAATTTTATTTGTTGACAGGTAAAAAGAGGGAAGCAGGTATCCTAGGTCAAGAAAGCAGATCACGTGACTGGCGCTGCTGATGGCTACGTCACACCTGAGTCAAAAAGGTAAATTTCATGCGACAGGTGAGACAAAGGGAGAGAAGATATGTGGATAAAGTGGAAAGTTAAGAAAAATTATTTGTCCGCAATCACGAAAACTAATGATTTTTTAAAGGCACACATTTTAAAAAAAAAAAACAGTTAACTCAGTCAAACTGTTAAGAACAAAAACCAACAAGTGAATTATGAACTACATACGGTTTGTGATTGTTTAAAATTTGCTTATATTCTGTTGTGTTGAAGAAGATTAAATTTTACAGGCATCCAATTTTAAGCTTAAATTGAAAAGGCGATTTGGATATAAAATGTAATTTAATCCTTTCGAGGATTTTTTAAAAAAAATATTACATTGTTGACATTTGTTAAGCTTCACGAGTAAAGGAAAGGAATGGGTTCCGTAAATCTTCTAGCGAAGATTTGCCTGAAAAATCTTCATTTGGAATTGTAGATTTCACCTCGTCTTGAAAATCCCATTCTTTTTTCAGACCATAGTAGAGACTTTTTTATCTTATTCCAACTTCCTCTATGTCATTTTTATTATATTGTATGTCTTCAAAACTTAACCCTGCAAGTTCAGGTTTTTCATCATATTGATAAAATTGTTCCTTAATTGATAAATGGTAAATAACTTCACCTTTTATTAAATTATTTTTGCGTATTGAAAGGATGAAACTTTTGTAAGCGGTAAATAACTTCCCAAACTCTGAATATCTTCCTCTTTCTTTCTTTCTTTCTTTCTTTCTTTCTTTCTTTCTTTCTTTCGTAACACTTTTCTTTCTTTATGTTCTTTCTTTCTTTCTTCTAAATATAACCCCTCATATCCGGACCTTGTAACCAGTGGCGTAGCTAAGAGAGGGCGAGGGGAGCGAACCGCCCCGGGTGCCAGCACAGGAAGGGTGACACAATGTCACCCCCAACCAAAATTTTTCAACCAGGCCAAAGTGCCAAAAATAGTCTGAAAACAGTGGTGGAGACACAGGGTTTCGCAGGCGGGCATATGACCCCCCCCCCCGAAATAATTTATGACCCCCCAGTTTTGTTCCCCCGTCAGAAATTTTCTAATAAATTGTCGGGAAATTTGTGAGTAGGAAAAAAATAGCAATGTTTTCAGCTTTCATGTGTTTCAGTTGCTACAATCTTGGTTACTAATAAGAGACATTGTTGTAACATTGTCGGATCTGGCTGTGCTGTCCATTGAAAACGAGCTTACAAGACAAACAGATTTTGACGATGTCATTGACCAGTTTGCCACAATGAAAACAAGCAAACATTCATTCTAAGACCATAGTATCGAATGTCATTCTTTTGTGTATTGCCGTGTTTTGTATTTAGTTGTTCTGAAAGTGAACAGTTGCATTTTAAAAATCTTTTGATTTGAACTGATTATTTTGTGGTATTGGATTTTGTCTTGGATCATACATGTAATCAGTAACGTACCGGTCAGTAGAGTAAAGTAGAGGTTGAGCATGTATAAAAATTTAGCTACAGCTAACCATTCAGCATAGGGTGAATCGGGGTCATTGGGGTGACATTTGAGCAGACCGCCCCGGGTGACGTTTATTCTAGCTACGCCACTGCTTGTAACCAATTCTTCATATCCGGAAATCCTTCTTAGTCCGGTTGTCAGGGATTCTACTATACTTATAACAGGCTTGTAGTGACTACTACTACGTTTGCCACGCCTACATTTTTTTCAACTGTGATTGGTTAAATAATAAATACTAATTATCACAGGACAATTTACTGATCGCAGTCACTACACTGAATTTTTCCTACTGTTAATTCACAAACATCCTTTTGTTATAAAATCACCGATTGGATAATTTTTCATCCAATCAGATATTTTTTATGTTCTTTCAAAATTCTCCCGCCTTTGTTCCTGGAGCCTACCGGTAATAATAAAAGCGGGGTTTCGTTCCAAAAATAGACAGTAGAATTCAGCAACTCACACGCGTCTACACAGACTATTCATTCTACTCACTGCGCACACACAGACACAAAACTTGAATTACATTTCACCATCATCTCTGTGTAAAAGCCAAGTTACACACAACGCTGTTAGTTATACAAATGACACATAACTGAATTAATTGTATGTTCTGAATACAACATTCTATTTCAACATAGAACTTTGAACATTCTATTCAGAAACTTCCTTAATTACATTTATTCTTATTCAAGCTAACGGATGAAGGGAAACTACTTTTTTCTCCTTAATATTCACACATTACAAAAATTGTTTTGTATTTGTTGATTTTAATATATATTTTATCGTTGAAACAAAAATCGGTTTTCCATTGTTTTTCCATGATTCAAAAATGTATAAATGTTAAATGCTCTTCAACACGCAGCCACATCAATCTTTTCAACACAACCAGCATTTACAGGCTGATAGATATGTTGAACCACATTCAACTTGTAGGCTACAAAAAATTTACAAAATTAAGAAATCATTTTCACTGAATCTTATTACGCAGTTGAAGTCGAGAATATACCACGTGAAAAAGAGGAAAATTAATAGATGAATGAATTCGTTCTATTGTAGTGTTGAAAAGTTCTAAGCCTTGAGCTACTTACAGGGAATATAAACACAGATTGACAACGAAAATTTCGGTAGACCCATTCGTTTTCAACAGGACTTCGTTTCCAGCTATCGGCAACTTCAACAGAACAGCTTCATTCGTCTATCCACTTCCACTAACCAAAGTCACCGTCAAGTTCAATGAACTTCTCTCTCACACCGTGGATGCAAATCTTCTCACTCCCCCTCTTTCTGTATGTATGTATGTCAATGTGCTCTCTCTTTTTGCGCACTTACATGCTAACTTTTATTTGAACTCAGACATCTGAAAGGAACTTTCATCTTGCACAATTTTTTGTAGCGAAAGAGATAATCAGCTACCTCGAAAAAGATTTCGTGTTTTGTGTGCGATCTGCCGAAGAAAAATTACCAAAAAGTAGTTAACAAAAATCTACTTTAAGGACCAGAATCTATGCTTAATGTTTTTCCCTCCCCTGAATGGCGTGACCAATCAGAAAAATCTCTCAGTGAAAAAGCAGTTGTTTTTCGCTTGGGTGAAGAGATTTGATTTTCTGAGCTTGGTGAATTCAATACTCGTTTACTGCAACAAAACCTTGGAGAGTTGAGTTAAAAGGAGTTTGGTGAATGGACATGCGTTTTTACTGGTGAGAAGTGAAGGTTGGATTTTTGCCTGTTGGACTGTTACGATGGACTATCGTTTGAACTATGATTCGACTACAAGTGTTGCGATTGAGAGACAGAAGAAATCTATTGCAGACGTTTATTGCTACTATAAGTTGACAGTCTTTTTTTTTCTTTTTCTTTACAACCACACTTTTGTCAACCAATTTTAAATTGTGTCAACTTAATTTCCTTTTTTTTGTACCTCAACTGTTTTGTTTGAATGATACGTAATAAAATTATTCTTATTCTTCTTTGTTTATTCATGTATTTGTTGCATTGATTTTTGAAAGGGTAAAATTATTTACTGAAATTTGTTTGGAGAACTCAAGGATAATTTTACAAAATTCAAAGTGAGTTTCAGGTATATTCAAAATCAGGCTCCTTCACTCAGATTACCCTGCTGGTAGTGATCTAATACCAACAGCGTAACGAGTCGTGTGAAAATATCAATCGCTGAATGCAAATGGCTCTAAAAGAGATTTTAGACCCTTAAAAAAAACGCAAATCAGCTTTCCTCCAATCAAATTCGTCCGAGGGCATCCCTACCACTATCAGAATGTGAGAACCCAAAATTGAAACTTCCCCAATCCATAAATGGAGCGGATGAGTCCACAGGAGAACTTTGGCGCACAGAATAATCAGCAACAGATCCTCTTCCTTAATGTGCCCTGTCTCTTCAGGACGTAGGCTATCATGGCTCCCCACTTCCTCCCATTCCTTGTAGCTCTAAATAAGTTTTGTCCCTTTGCTACTTCTCCCAGGGCATGTTCTGTCATCCACTCAACCGTTGCTTTCCCTCTATTCGCCCTGTGAGCATCAGATTCTCTAAGCACTCCTTTCTCATTACATGTCCCCAAAATTTCAGTTGCCCCTTCCTGGTGTTAAGTATAATCATCCTCTTTGTTTGCATCCCCTCTCCAAAACCACATCGTTGTTCACACACTCGGTCCATGATATCCTTAGCATCTTTCTGTAGAACCATACATTTGTTGCCTCGAGACTCTTCTTCATCTTTGAGGAGACCGTCCAACATTCGCTGCCGTAAAGGAGGACATGTATCACGTAGCAACTCAGTACTCTTTTCTCTGTTACCAAAAGAAACCCTCTTGTCTCGTAATACTCTGCATAGCTTTTGGAATGCGTCTTTGGTCATCCCAATACGTCTTTGGATCTCAGCATTACACTTACTGTCCCCTGTCAGAACACTTCCCAGATATTTAAATGTCCATGCTTGCTTGACTTTAGTGTCCCCGA